AACAAACAAACAAACAAAATACACAAAACCATGAAAAATCGCACAAACACACAAGAAAATACATATAAAGGAAAATGACAAGCTTTCCGCACTGTGGATGATTTTCACACTTATAGTCAAATTTTATTTCATTAATGAGACTCCTAAACATTTCTGACATTTTTGTTTGACACAGGTTGAAGAGGGAGAGGGTTGTTAACTCTTTGGGGTTGTTAACAATATCCCCCAACCACCTCATAATCCTTTACCCATAATCAACGTTATCATTAATCAGGCTCTTCAGAGGTTGAGCGGTGATTTGTCAGTAGAATGAGCTTTTGTCAAAATATTGATGTATTTACAAAGACTTGGAGCAGGATGGTACTAAAGAAAAGATAAAAACGTTCCGAGGGAATATTGAAGTACTTAGTCTGAAGAGGGAGTTATTACATGTTTCGTTACATTCTTTCTTCAAAACTGAAGATAAATTATTTAACCTATTACCACAACGCATTTGAAACCTATCATAAAATTCTAGATGATATTCGGATTTGGTCGAGCTGAAATATAGCAAGACATTTACTTCATGACACTGAAATATGTGCATGTAAAGTGTGTTTGTTATGTTTAAGCGCAAAGCTGAACAATGGGCTATCTCCTCAGTGCCAACCGCGACGATCGAGTCCCGATTTTTAGCATTACAATCCCTTAAGTCACCGAAGAGCGGGGGGGAGTGGTGGTACAGAAAATGGAAGTGACTCAGTACCATAAGATTTGCCCCCCCCCCAGTGGCACAGCGGTATGTCTGCGTACTTAGAACGCTAGAATCCGGGTTTCGATACCCGTGGTGGGCAGAAGCACAGATAGCCCATTGTGTAGATTTGTACTTAATTACAAACAAACCATAAGATTTATTACATATGCTGTTTGAAGACATCGTTGAAATAGATACACATTTAAAACATTTCTAATTTAGGTTAATCTGACCTTTTGACCTTTAAAATGTTGACTATACATGTTTCGACGTTTACCACGTCATCATCAGGAGCGAATTTTCAAGACATAATAATGTCATATTTATTCCTTCTTAATCTGTATATAGGTTTAATGTTTCAGCATAATTGTTAGAGATGGTTCCGCCATATTCTTACACAGACATTCGCCAGACGTTCGTCTCTATTTAATAATTCACGATATTTTATAAAATGTATTATTTCTAGAGATTCATAAATATTATTGTCTCTAATATCCTTTGGTTGAGCCCCGTATTAACTTATGTTGTGTAGTTTTTTTTGTACATGTTCTGCTATGGCAGAATTATCACTCCTTTTATTTCTTACACATCCTTATGTTGTGATAAACGATATTTCAAGTTAAATTTTGTCTGTCTAATATAAACCCTTCCACATTCAGTTTTATAAATTCCAGTTTTTTTTCTTCCATCAACTGTATATTATCTTTAGTATTACCTAAAATTTGTTTTATCTTATTAATCGGTTTAAATATTTGTTGTTTTTTAAACACTTTGAATAAACTAGAAGCTAAACCTGGAACATATGGCAACATTAAACGTTCCTTTTTAATTTTATCATAACTCGGGTTTAAGGTAATACCTTCATCCATTATTACCACATCAGTGAATTTCTTAACTGCTCCATCTACAATAGTTGGGTTAAATCCTCTTTCAACTGATATATATTCCATTAGCAACAACTCCTTTTTTAAGTCCTCTTGTTTTGTACATATCTTCAAAATTCTATGAACATAAGCGTAAACCGCAGACATTTTTTTTTGTGTTTCAATATGACATGATTCCTGGTGTGGTGGCATAAGAACAGAAAAAGGTTTCCAATAAATAGATGTTTCTAAATTCCCTTGTCCATTCCTTTCTACCAATACATTAAAAAAAAAGACAAACTATTATTTTCCCCAATTTCATAGGTAATTTGTACAGAAGATTCTACACAATTCGGATAGCATGCAAACCTTAATGCCTTATTACCATATCTCCACATCAAGAATGTATCATCTACATATCTTATCCAAATTTACTTTTTACACCATTTATGGCTTTAGTTTGAAATGCACCCATATGTAAGTCATATAGCAATGATGAAAGAGAGTATCCCGTTGCTAACCCTTCATTTTGTTTATCAAAAACAATTTTTATCCTGAAAAAAAAATGGGTTCTCTACACATACCTTTGTTACATTAATTATATCTATAGTTTCAACTGCTGAAGTTTTATTTTGTAACAACGTATTTTCGAAACATTTAATTGCATATTCCACTGGAACTTTTGTAAATACCACAACATCAAACAACACTAACAAATATTCCTTATTCATCATTGTATTTCTTTACAAATTCCAGAGCATTTTCAACTATATATATATACATATTTGTTTTTATTTTTACAAACAAGAATACTTCTGAGCTATATATTTGCCTATTTGATATGATGATGTATCTATAGTTGATACTACAGGTCTAAAACTGTCATTCATTTTATGTATTTTTGGAAGTGCATAAAATCTCGGAGTAATAAAATTAGCTGGAATAAATCTACTCTTTCCTGAATCTGTTAAAGTTAAACAGTTTTAACACTTGTTTTTAGCCGCGGCGTAGTGGCTCATAAGATGGCTGAGTTGTTTTGTTTTTTTTTGTTGTTTTTTTTTTGGGGGGGGGGGTCTCAAGTACAACCTTTGAGTTCATAGCTCCGTCATGTCTCGACTGATTTGAGATCAAATTATAGTTTTGGACATGATGTGGGTTGGCCTTAACTGATTTGAATTTGGTACTCTTATTAAGGCAGTCATGGATGTTTGTCGTCATGATGTGGGCTGGCCTTAACTGATTTGAATTTGGTACTCTTATTAAGGCAGTCATGGATGTTTGTCGTCATGATGTGGGCTGGCCTTAACTGATTTGAATTTGGTACTCTTATTAAGGCAGTCATGGATGTTTGTCGTCATGAT